ACAGTATCCATTGTGAATTGTAAAAAAAAAAAAAAAAAAAAAACCATAAAAAAAAAAAAAAATTATTTGTGTGGCGAAATTAGTCAGTCGTGTGTTGTCAGAGAGAGAGAGAGAGAGAGAGAGAGAGAGAAAGGGCGGGAAAATGTCAAAGTGCAACACTCGATAAACGTAATTATGTAAAGCCCCACCCAATTTTATATACAACCGTTATGTTCGAAAAAAAGTAAGAAAAACGAAAAAAAAGAAATTAAAACTACTATCAGGGTGGTGTATTTGAAAAAACGAAATTTCCACCCCTCCCTCCTTCTTCCTTCCCTACGTCCCCTCCCTCCCTCCCTCCCTCTCTCTCTTCCTCCCTTCCTGTCAATTTTCCCATAATTCGTGACTGATTAAATAACTGAGAGAAAAAAAAAACAGGAATCGTCCAATACCTCGAACAAGAATACTTCCAACTCTCACGCACACACACACGCTTCACCCATATGCGTAACGTCACCTGGTAATAATAATAATAATAATAATAATAATAATAATAATAATAATAATTTTACGCGGCTTCAAAATGGTAAAAATCACGCAGGATTTTATACATAGGATTTGAATAAAATATAAATAAAATAACGATCTGAAAATGGCCGGGATTTTTTTTTTCTTTCCCATCGTGTCAACTTTACCATTTCCCGACCGACCGCGTGTGTCGGTCGTAGAATGTCAATGTTGTTCTCTCTCTCTCTCTCTCTCTCTTTAAACCACCTATCTTGTATATATACATTTATACGCACTCACACACGCACACACTCTTGTTTTTTTTTTTTTGTACCTTTCAAGGAAATCCGTTTTTTATACATTATAGACTGCAATTTAATCATTATTATTATTACTATTACCGACGATAAATATTATTATTATTATTAGTGGTAGTAGTAGTAGGAGTAGTAGTGACACTAGTAAAAAATAAATAAATTAATTGTTTATTAATATTCATGTGTTGACGATCACGTATACTTGATTCGATTAATAAAAAAAAAAAAAAAAAAAAAAATTTTACGTGCGTAAATACTTAATGCGATTATTATCAATTAATAAATTATTTTTTCTTCTGCTTCTTCTTAAAAAAAAAAATTTTTTAAATGTGGATCATTCGAAACGAAAAATGGAGCAACCACACAAAAAACGTTTACGTATTTCGATCGATAATGATAATAATTATTTATCGATAA